AAATGAATTTAAAAGTATTTTAACTGCATGATAGCTTCTCATTACATATTTTTTCAATGATTAGCTGGCATTTATATGCTTTGGTTTAAAGAATAAAAAGTCAGAATTTAATCTTATAGCAAAAAGATTGATTTATTTCCACAAAGTTAAAAAATTTAAATTTGTTTTTAGCTATACATGACAATAGAATGTATTTTGACATATAATATATACATGGAGTATAACCCATTCCAATTAGGATGCCATTCTTGTGGTTCTATATAATGTGGAGTTACTGGTTGTATATTGATTTATGAGCAAAGGAAAGTTAAGTAGATTCATTTTGTCTTTCCTATTCCCATCCCCCCCACATTTCCCTTCATTCTCCTTTCTCTAATCCATTAAACTTCTATTCTTCCCCTCCCTACTCTCCCTTATTATAGATTACCATCCACATATCAGAGAAAACATTCGGCCTTTGGTTTTGGGGGATTGACTTATTTCATTTAGCATGATATTCTCCAGTTTCATCCATTTACTGGCATCATTACATATTTTTTAATTTACAAATACTAAAAAATAAAACTACCATTTATATTAGGATTCAGGTTTGGACATTCAGAAAGGGTTATGATCCTTAGGTTGGAAACCACTGGTTCAGATTAATGGCAACTGAGGGACTGGGTGCCTGACCTAGAGTAAGATCTAGTACGCTGACTCAAGAAACTCCTTGAGTAGGGTTATGACAGTCTGTTTCCCAGTAAATCCAATAACACATTTTCATAATTACATGTACAAATTGTATTCTAATTTACATATTTGCATATGAACATTTTAATTCTCCCATAGCCATGATGTCACATCAATTATTATTTTTTAAAAAAAGCAACTGCATATAGGGCCACATGTGGAATTGAGACCAAAAATCATCCTTTTCTGAAACTTCAGATGAATTGTAAATTGACAGAGTAAAATATTAACAAAATAGAGATGTTAAAAAGTGCATAGCTTTGAAGAGAAATCCCTCTTCAACGAGGATGGTTCTGTGTCTCTCTTCCAGAAATGGGCTTAGCTAGTTCTTCTGAGATTAAAAAGTTGCTTGCTTGTTTTGCACAGGTCCTTGGAGGCCACAGTGGGAATTTCTTGTCTTATAGTTAGAGCAGCCAACAGCTCTGGGCTCTATTATCATGTGGAGTGCTATTATTCCTTCTCTCTGTTCTTATTAGTTAGTCATTGAAATGAATTACTGCCTTCTAAAATTGTAAGCTTCTTGAACAGGGTGTGTTCATACACTAGCAGGGAGGGGTTAGTCTGCATAGATTATAGTAACATTAATTATGTTAACATTAGTTTGGCTCCTGTTGTTAAAATACATATTAATTTGCTATTACATATAGAATTTGCAGTAAGTGCCAGGAATACAGCACTCTACAGGAATGAGAGATGCATGACATGATCCACACTTATTCTGTGAGTCACGAGCAGACCAAAAATTTCAAGACCAAGAATAAATGGGCATTGAAGGAGTCTCACTTGAACTCCAAAGGGACTAACTGAGAGGCTAAAGAAAAGGAGATGAAGACAAGGATTGCCAGTATCTGTCAGAAGAAAATACAAAACATACCTAATACACAGCTAAGGCAAAATCAAGGTTGAGACTGTCTCAGTTTACATCTTCTTTTTCTGTTGCTCAAACACTTAGTAAAATCTTAACAGCTTTCAAACTTTGTTCTACGTCTTAGACTAGCAGAGCAAGACAGATGTGACCTCTTCCCTCCCTAACTTGACAACTGTACCTTCTAGCCATTTCCACACGTGCATTGCCTGGGGACTGGGAACTGAAGTCCATAGCCAGACCAAACCCCAAAGGTGGGGTGAATGTTAAAATGGTGATGTGGATATTCACATGGCAAAGGTTTGAGGAAGCCAAGGCAGCCCCTAGGTAGGATGTCCCTACAGGACAGGGACCAGTGCTCTTGAATGGGATCTGTCCCTATGGTCACCTCTTGAGGATAATTTAACGTTTTTCTTTTCTCTTGAAAAATGGTTACAATTATATGTAGCCAAGAGTTTTTGTTATTATTTTATTGTTATTTAGTTTGTTTTTAGTTTCCACTGATACAAGAGGATCTCTACCACCAAGTCTTCAGAAAACTGATCTATCAGGATAGTTTTATGTGATAAGATGACAAGGAATAAATGAATGGAGAAGTTGCAAATAAAAATTGGTGCCCCACATTCACTCTTCTGCTAAAATAATGCATGACTTTGAGGAGTTGAAAGTGGGGAAAAAATATGGAGTTTTTATTTCCTAGTAAAAAACATAGAACTGCTGACATTGGGTTGTTCAGTGTTTTGTTTTGTTTTTAAATTTTTTTTATTTCTTACATACATAACAATAGTGGAATGCATTACAATCATAATTACCCATTCACAGCACAAGTCTTCGTAACTCTGTATATAAAGTATGTTCACACCAAATTATGCCATTATATATGAGCTCTCATTTTTTTTTGCATTACAATTCTTAATACACTTTTTTTTTCTTTTAGAGAAATTTAAATAGAAAATGAATGAGCATGCATTTCAGGGGGTGGCCAGTGGTGCAGCGAGTTTGTCTTGGAGTTGGAAAAGGTGAGGAAAAGCAACCAATGCAGAGAAATAACTTTCAAGAGCCTAAGGGACAAACCCTTCCTTCCCTTCCAACACCAGCAAAGGGAACCTTTTTTTTTTTTGGTGGGGGTACTGGGGATTGAACCCAGGGGTGTTCAACCACTGAGCCACATCCCCAGCCCTTTCTATTTTTTATTTTAAGACAGGCTCTTGCTAGGTTGCTCAGGGCCTCACTAAGTTTCTGATGCTGGCCTTGAATATGTCATCCTCTTGCCTCAGCCTCCCCAGCTGTTAGGATTACAGGCATGCATTCACCATGCCCAGTCAACAAAGGGAACCCTGAAGAGGGTTTGTGAAGAGGGCCAATGCTGGCCCTACATGTGTTAATGAAAGAGGAAAATCTACCATGGAGGGTCAGGGAAAGGTTGGGGGGTGGGGCGGAGACTTGAGAAGGGTGGGAGTCAGGTGGGTGGAGGGTACAACAGAGCTGATGAAGAAGTACAGGCAGTGAGTGTTCAGCTGAGATGGGTTCATATGCATTTGCTCGTCCTGCTTTCTCCAGCAGGTGGTTTAAGAAGAAAAGAATAGGTTTGGTTCGTCCAGCTTTGGTATTTTGTCAGGCAGGTAGAATGAGGAACAAGAAGACAAGAGAGTGAAGGACATTGGCAATAAGGAGGGAGAAGAGACAGGTCATGGCTATCCATCAGGAGAAGGAATGAAGACAACCACAGAGGAAAAGAGTAAGTGAGGACTCCATGAATTACAGGTCTCCATGGGGACACTGAGGAACAGCAGACTGGGGGATGACAGACTGAGAGTAACGGTTAAGGGTGATGCTCAAAGAGTCTGATGTCTGAAATGCATTTTCAGAGTTGGAGCGATTCCAGGCGAGGACAAGTGCCAGGGTGTGTCAGAATGAGTGGCTGGAGTAGAGGAGGTCACTGGAAATGAGTAAGACGAGGAAATGTGCTCAGAGAGTCAGACGTGGGTATGATGTCATTCTGAGGAATGGGTGGATGCTGTGGAAAGGAAGGCCACGAGGGTGCCAATGCTGTCAGTGAATCAAGAGCAGTGGTGAAGGGAGGTCGCCAGCTAACGACAAGCCGCAGGCCAGGGCTAGCACTGCTCAAGGAACTGGCTCCGGATGGGGACATTCTTTACAACCGGGTGGAGGAGAAATGATTTGAAGTTGACCATGTGAAAAAAAAAATGTAGCGTTTTTATTTCCTAATAGAAAGCAATGGATTGGAGAGGTGGGCTTGGAATTATTCTTTCTTTTAGAAAATTTTAAATAGAAAATGAATTAGCACCTTCTAAGTGGCAAGTAGTTTGTTCTCATGCTTGCAAAATTTCTCTAAGTCACATGTCCTGCTCCTTGAGTCAATGTTAATTCTGGGATTTCCATGTTGAGCAATTCACTTGTTTGCATAGTGCTATAATATATTTAGTATTATGACAGAGCACATAAGGTGCCACACCCAGATCTTGTGTTTTACAATTCCTGGGAAAGACTGATAGATACTTTATCATTCATGTACAGTTAAGGGATCTGTTATTTATTCTTTTATTATCATAAGCCCATGGCTATTATGTATGCAATCCCTGCAACAGAGATTGCTAGTAAAAGGAAATAAAATTGAACAAAATATCTATCCTCAGCAGCTTTGTAACCACTCTTTCCTGTTTTATTGAGCATATCTTATATGTCATACACTGCATTAGTTGCTAGGAATATAAAAATGATTAATCCTTTATCATTGTCCTTGAGAGGCCATAGTCTAGCCATACGAGCAAATAATTGCCAATCTTTGTTAAGTGCTACAATAGCATACAGTGCAGTGCCTGGGGAAAGGTCATTCCAGGCTTCCTGAGGCTGACAGGAGTTAACCTGCTTTCTGAAATAATAGGCATTAGAAGCATATGTAGGGGAAAGGCATCACAGGAAAAGGACAAAGTAGTGGGGTTAAAGAGAGCACAGAATATAGAAAAGAGGAAATAGTCCAGCCAGGCTTTAGCACGGGGTGTATAGAGGAAACAAACTGGTGATACTCAGGGGAAAGTAGACAGGAAGAAGATCCTGAGGGTCTTAGATGCCATGGTTAAAGGATTTAGTTCTATATAGAAAGTCAAGACTATATAGGAGTGAAAATAAATCTTTTTGGATGGTATTGTTAGGAATCTGGACTGGGAATGAACTTGTGTGAGGGCAGGGGGAATTCAAGGCCGGAAGGTCAAGTAAAAGTTTATCACAAAAGACCAAGAAAAAAAAGAGCTGATGTTGAAAGAAAAAAAGAGAGAAAATACAAAATGTTTAGAAGATACAATTCATGGAAGTTGGTGAATGAAAGATAAGCTGGGAATGAGGGAAAAGTACAGCAATTCTAGAATGGCTACAGAGACTGCCCACATTTACATGGTGTGTTGTTTTATATCGATTATAAGACACAGTGGAGAAAACATAATTCTGGTTGGGGGATGAAGAAAAGGTCTGAGAAGCTGGTTAGGGAGGAAGATGAAAACAGCATTCTTACAGGATGGATTTGAGATGGATCTGAGGACTCCCAGTGGTGGTCTCAGTTAAGTAGTTGGTTATGCAAGTCTGGACCTCAGCAGAGAGCTCAGCTGAAAGTTTGGAAGTCAGTGTCTAGAGGTTCGCCAAGGCCACAACAGTAGATGATTACCTAAAGAGAAGGCACGGAGCACAGGTATTCAGTCGGAAAGACTCAGGATGAGATTTATAGCATCCCCGAAGCAGTCACAAATGATATTATTTTTCCTTTAAATTCCTTCCTGGTCCTTTAAAAATGATCTCTGTGGAAAGAAAAGGTATGGTTTCCCTACCAACACAAAAGGGACCAAAATGAGTTATACTGTAGAGAATCAGATATTGTACAATCAACACAGATGAGAGAAAACAGGAAGGGTTGAAAACATGCACCACCTGTTTCTGAAGAAAGCAACTCCTTCCCAGGTTGTAAACTAGGAAAACACACCCCAAGGGTTACTAACTCTGATATTTCAAGAGGAGCTATAAACATGTTGTTTTACAGGAAATTTTCATGTAATTAAAAAAACTGCATAAATTCATTTATTCAATGAAATTTATTGAGCAATTAAACCTGGAGATTTTGCAGTGAACAAGAGACAAATGTCCATTCCCTGAGTGAAGCCTAGAATCAATGGTGGGAACACATACAATAAACTAAATGGGTAAAACATACAGTCTGTTTGGGTAGAGAGGAAAGCATTGAAGAAATATCAAGGGGGGTGTGGGATAGATAATGTTGGAGTGGGCTGTTCTAAGAAAAATAATGGGAAAGAAAGCCCTTGCCATAACATGGAGTAAGAGCCTTAGGGAAACAAAGACGTGAACCACACTGATAACTTTTTTCATATCCATATAAAGAGAAGACAGGAAAGTCAAAGTCTCTGGGTGGAACTTTGCCCAAGGAGCTCAAAAAGCCAGTGTAATCAAAATAGTGAGACCCAAAAGAAGAGTCTGGGGAGGTGGAGTCATGGAAATAAGGGAGATCAGTGGAATGAGATGGACATCATTACCCTAGCTACAGGTATGATTGCAAATATGGTGTGATGCTACATCATGTACAACCAGAGAAATGAAAAGTTGTGCTGCAATTCTGTACAATGAATCAAAATGCATTCTGCTGTCATGTATACCTAATATAAATAAATAAAAAGAAAAAGAAATAATGGAGATCAGAATTCTACAGGTCTTGTCATCATTGTGAGGGTTGGAGCTTGTATTCTGGATGAATAGGAAGCCACTATGCATTTGGGGCAAAGGAGTGAGTCTGTGCTTGCTATGCTGATAGCATGCAGAATAAGGCAAGGGATGGAGACCCCAGAAGAAGACTCTACTGAAGTAACTCAGGCTAGAAATACTGGCTGCTTGGATAAGACTGGTTGGTATAGGAACAGGGCAGAGAAAAGGTCAACTGAGGTCCATTTTTGAAGACAGAGACAATAGTTGTGTGGAGGAGAGTGAGAGAAAAATGAGACATCAACAACTCTAAGGATTTTGGCCTGAACTGGATCCAGGATGCAACTGGGTTATCATTAATAAATATAGGAAAAACTGTGATGTTGGGGGGAGTATAAAAAAAATCAGAGCTCTTTTTTTTTTTTTTTTAACCTGCTGGGTTCTAAATGTCTATTAGATCTCCCGGTGGACTCGTCCACTGGGCAACTAGATCTATATGTTTGGAATTCCACGGGGAGTGATCCAGACTATACAACAAATTTTGAGACATCATAGCATCTAATGTCATAGATTGGATATAATCAGGGAAGTGAGTGCCAACAAGAGAAGGTTGAAGGACCTCGATTTGGAATTGAGGGAGAAGAGGAGGCAGCAAAGCCTACTGAGAAGTCGCAGCCAGTGAAATAGGAGAAACCCCAAGAAAATGATGTCTTCAAGAGAAGAAAGTGCTTAAAAGAGAAGGAAGTGGTCAACTGGGACATACGCTGCTGTGGGTCCCAAGAAATGAGCACTTAGCAATGTGAGGATCATTAGTGACCCGGATGAGAGCGTTTTAGTGCAGTAATGGGCAGAAGGGTTCCCAAGAATCACAGCACTCAATAGGTTCAAGAAGAAGCAGGAAAATTAGGCCCAGTAAGTATTCATAAATCTGCTGAAGAGTTCTTAGGAAGTAAGAAATGGGGCAGTGGCTGACGGGAGAAGTGGTCCAAAAAGAGGAATCTTGCTTCTTTAAAGATCAGAGAAAGATGTGCGTGTGTGTTTGCAAGAAAAATAATCCCATGAAAAGAAAAAAAAAACTCATGATGCAGATGAGAGGAGAGAATTTTTGGAAAAATGTCCTGGAGTAGCGGGAGGGGACCCAGCGCTGGAGCAGAGAGGCTGGATCCCAGACAATTACAGACACATGTGCTGGCTCCAGCAGGAACACCGCTCCTTTGAACCTCTGCACAAGGCCTCTGCTCATCCTGAAAAGACACTGGATGTTGTGGCTCCTCTACAGCAGAAAAGGCTTCATTTAGAAACTCTGAAACATGACCAGTGTTCACATGTTTAGTGAAAACTTGCAAATTAAAAGATGCTCTCCATGATGACTTTGAAAAAATCATATGTGCTGGAAATGTGTGCATTGGGAATGAAGAAATAAAGACAAGTCTTAACTGCTTTTAAACTGTGCCTAGTGAGTCCACAATAGAGCTACTTATATTTAAAAAAATATTTTGGTGTTAGTCCATGAGGAATGTGTAGCTTCATCATTTTAGCAACTAGATTAAAGCCACTGACATCTCTCAATCTGATCTTTTCTGCTAATTGCATGCTAATATCAACTCAGGAAAACAAATCCTACTTTGGGAGCTCTTTGTGTAAAGTTAGATTCCGATCACATATCTGAAATGGTGAAAACTTTCTTTGTCAAACACAGCCTCAACTGGAAGTTAATATGTTAGTGCTTCGTGCACAGATTGGGCACTGCGATCCTTGGCAACCCTTCTGGACTGGCTGCTTTCCAGAAGGAAGAAGCCTGCCCAAGTGTCAAGGTGCCCACTGCTTAACCAGAAAGCACTGGTGTCAAATGACCAGTGATCTTAATTCCTGGAATAAAGTAACTAACAAACAGTTATCAAATTAATGAATAAAAATTAGTTCTGCGTATCATCAGAAACATTGCCATCTCCAGCAGAACTCAGATCACGAATGAGCATTTTGTCAAGGGATTTCATTAATTAACAACCATGGGTAGAATCTGAAGATTCTCTTTTATAACTCACAAATGAACTGGCTTTCAGAGGGACAAGGATTGTGCTTTGTTGCATTTTAGATGACAGAAAAAAAAAAAAACCTGATTCTTCAGTCCATTTAAAAGGAAAAAGTGGATCCACAACTTGCTTTATTTGCTGCATGTTGCTATCTTAAGGATAAAACAGATTTTTTTTTCCAACTTAAGTCTCTGTTCTCCATTTCTCACTGACAGGTCCAGTTTTTTCAAAGTTCCTAACTAGATGCTAAATAAATACTAACTTATAAAGAAATCTCTATAATCTTTAAGTGGTAATAGAGAAATCACATGAAATGATTAAGAATATATACATATCTCAATATCTTAATGTGTAAGTGTGTAGATATGTATACTCTCACTTTCTCCACACACATACACACACATTTTCATTTTTAAATTTTTATTTTTTAAAAATGCTATTTCACTAAAATGATAGTAAAGGAATTTTTAAAAACACAAGAGGGTGACAACAGCAAAGGAGGTGTGACAATGGCTACCTGTTTGGCCAAGGGTAGGGAGCTGAACCTTCTGCTGCAGCCAATCATTTATGGAGCAGAACCGTAGAGAGGCTGAGAAACTGGAGTCACCAAGTGCCTCTGAAGATGAGGATGGGGACAGAACAGAAAGCAGGGTCAGCTGAAGGTCTGCAAGAAGTGGAGAGATCTGAAGGACGCTTCCCGTATGCAGAGCAGGTAGGTGACTGTCCTCCTCTACCTTGAAGGAGGCAGGGGGTAGCTGCTGACTCCAGAATGCCAGAGAGTGGAAGAGCAGAGGTCAGAAGGGAAAATACTGAAAGGTGAGAACCTGGTTCCCTTTCTCCATGAGACTCCAGACTGTTGGTAGCCAGGCCTATCATAACTCTCTGTTTCACACTCGCCACAACTTTAGAGGACTCCTTTCTAGAGACATGAGTGAGTCTGTGAGAAAATGCTCTCAGACAACAATAGACAGTGTCATTTCCTACACTGTCAAGTTTGCCATCCAGTCACCCTATGCTTATGCCAACCAGGAAAGCAGTGAAGACTGTACACTCACAGCTTGCAAATAGCTTTTTGGAGCCTCAGTCCTAAATATTAAAACAAAGGCATAGACTGTAAGACACTGGGGAAGCTCCCACCATGAAACACAGAGGCTCAAACTTACAAATAAATGCAGACAAAAAGAAAACCAGACAATAGATAATGCAGGAGGAGGAGGAGGAGGAAAAGATGAAGAGGAGGAGAAGGAGAGGGAGGAGGGGGGAGGGAAAAGGGGGAGGGAAGGAGGGAGAAGAAAACACCCCACTACCAAAACTGCATAACTGATAGAGTCAGATACAAAATAACATTTTATACACACACACACACACACACACACACAAATGCATGTGTATATTTGTGAAATGAGAAAAGGATGCTAATTTTAAAAGATTATTCAAAGAATAAGAGCTCATGGAAATTAAAAATATCATAGCAATAAAAAGTACAATAGGACTGGATGACACAGTTGAGAAACAATTAAAAATAAATGACAGAGATAAAACAATAGAAAAGACACAATGATTAGAGAATAGGAGTTTCAGGACTAATAAGCTGAGAAAAGTTATCAAAAGATTAAAAGGAGAATATTTCCCCCAAATGGGAGACATGAATCTCTAGACTGAATGGTCAAGCACAGGGAATGAAAAAAGATGAATACAAGGCACATGTGATAAAAGTTCAGAGTCCCAAGGTTAAAGAGAAGAAACTAAAACCTGGAGAAGAAAAATTAATCAAACATAAAGAATCTGGAACAAGAATGAAACCCAATTCTGAAAATAAGCAATTCTCAAAACAGACGACAGTGAAGAAATGCCTATAAAATTATAAGGAAAAAGATCTTAACTTTGTATTTAAACAGACTTACAATAAAGTTTGTGGGCAGCATAA